AACGATTAATCCCTCGATTAATCGTTAATTTTTTTGATCAAAATTATTTTGATAGATCAAAGTTCTTTTGATCCGTACTCACCTCTCCACCGGCTTCCGGGTCTTCCGTCGGAGATCCGGTGACGTAACGGACATCGACGTCACCGGACTCCTCCCCCCTTCCCCAAGTGGTTGTCAGCTAACGTCGATGTCTGTGACGTCACTGGACTCCTCCCCCTTCCCTTCGTTACCCGATGGAGCTGCTTGGGCCGGTGACTACACATCCGGGAGGGAAACACTTTTTACCGGAAAGGTTTAATCTGCTCAATCGAGCAGATTAAACCTTTCCCTGCGATCGTTTTTTTTTCTTTTCTGACATCGGGAGCGCGGCCTGACCGTCAGTCAGAAAAGAAAAAAAGGCATACAATTTCATAGCTAGATTTCTATTGGCTATTGCACTTTGCAATAGCCAATAGCAAACCAGCTAATGCACCCGCCCACTGCTGCTGTCAATCAGCAGGGGGGACCTGAATTTTTCAATCAGGTCCTCTTCTGGTGATTGAAAGCAGCAGGGGGCGGGGGCAATAGATAGTTTGCTATAGGCTATTGCAAAGTGCAATAGCCAATAAATACAGGGTCTCTTCTGTCATAAAAACCCTACCTGTCAGTGTTTTTTAAAACCTTACCTTTACTTCCACTTTAAGTAATGTGCTTTGCAAAGTCGTTCATGTTCCATTTTATGGTTATCACTGAAATAGGAGGAGCGGGGAAATCTTCCACCTGTTGCCATGCCAACTAAGAGGGGTTTGCCCTAATTTTGTAGAGAGTTCCTGTTACTTTCTGTTGTATCTCTGGGACAGGAAATCAGGAGAAATCTACAGCAGGAGGCGTGGTGGTCCATTGAAGTGAAAAGCAGCATAGCTATGCTCTCCAGCCACAATGCAATTGGCCGCACGGGATTGCAAGGCACATTATGCCTGCGGTCCTGTCCGGTCCAATCAAAATAGTGTTTGCAGCATTTTGATCGGACCGGACCGCAGGCATAATGTGCCTTGCGATCCTGTGCGGCCAATTGCATTGCGGCCGGAGGGCGTGGCTATGGTGCCATTCACTTCAATGGACCGCCACGCCTCCTCCTGCCCCACAAAAAAGTGAGCCGGCCGCAATGTGAGGCAGTGCGTTCTGGCCATAATCGTGCCAAAGCGCACTGCATCTGGTGTGAACGAGGCCTAAGGACCCGTGCGTTATCACGTCCAATACAGTGTATTGGACATGAGGACGCTATGGGGTAGAGAGGCTGCAGGGATCGGTGTTACTAAGGTTTAGTCCCACCTTTTGTTATTTTAGATCCTGGGCAAAAAAAGGCACTTAACCCTTGCAGTATGGGGATATTATTGCAAGGTTTAAGTTTTCTTCTGTCCAGAGTTCTTTAAGGCTATGTTCACACCATGTCTGGAGCAGATATGCAAACACAGTGCAGTACAATTTTGGATTAAAATGGGCTTTCAGGTGTTGTCCAGTGCGTTAGCATGTTTTTTTTTTCATGCTTTTCTGTGCATTCCAGACCAGAGAAAATGAGACCAGCAGTATTTTTGTTGTTGTCTGGACTGGAACGGAGCCCAGAAATACCATAGAGATACATTGGGATGCTTTTTTGGTCCGGGGAAAAACTGTCCTGGTCTGGACATGGTCCAGACCAGGACAGTTAGTCTAATTTTTGATACAATAGCGCTATCTTTGTTATTTTTATAGCTGGTTCTTTATGCCCTTTTAATGCAAACGGAAACAAAAGAAAACTGGACAATTCCTGCATAATTTTTGCATTCCATTTATAATGCACGTTGCATGCATGCGATCCTTTTTTTGTTTTATATTATTAAAAGTATTTTATATTCAATGTATTAATGTATTTTATTATAATAATTATTATTGTTATTAATAAAGGCATTCATTAAAAAGTGCCTGTTTTTAGAAAAGCAGAGATATTGCCTGTTTTTTTTTCTTTTTTAGCCTGAGCGCCTTTACAAAGGTCCCCTGCTTTGCGTTGCATCCTCATGTCACAACACCTTTTAGTAAATACAACACTTGTGTCATAATAGCAGCTGTGCTGGTTATGGTGCTCTCTCCTCGGCATGTGTGCACGGGTAGCTAGTCTCTGTCTCTTTTTCAATGCTGCATATTTAATGCTGTTGCTAGCACAGAACTGGCTGTAACCTCACAGCTCACGAAAGCACGGTGTAGTATTTGAAATCTCTAGTTGGAGGCGGGGGCAAGCAGGCCTTGAAGGAGGATAAAGAGGAGCACATACATTATTCATCCATTGCCTGCTCTCACAAGAATCAGCTGGAGGAAGTGTGCTAGGACCACTCTCCTCTCCGCTAGCCCTGGTAGGCTTGTAACAAGCCCAGGCAAGTCAACGTTCACCTCCAAACCCCACCCTATCA